TCGGATTTACATCATTCCTTATGTTCATCTACAGAAGCTTATCTTACAACTTCAAAACATATTCAAACATTTCTTCCTATCCCTCTTGTTCCATATGATCTTGGACAAAATGATTTTTTTAAAGTATTAAAAAGACATCATTGGATTGAAGAAATTGATCATGATACAATTCTAGTAAAAGTCCAAGAATCTATTTTACAATATAATGAATTTGTTGGATTACTTCATTGGTTATGTAGTAATGATGTTCATAATAAATCTTATATAAAACAAATTCTATCCAAAATACGTTATCGTGAAACTTATCAATCATCTATAATTAAATTAGAAAAAATTGAATTTTATGATACTTTGAATCTATCATCTTTACCTCTTCCATCAAATGTATTACCATCGAATGTTATCAATCATATATCTCGAGAAGATTTACATAAACGATTATCATTATCGATAATTTCTATGAAAAATTTAATTGAATTTTATCTCGCAGACAATCAACAATATCTCTTTCAAAATGAGAATACAACTCGTATTCTTCTTAGTTTTATATCTCAACGTTGGAATCAATTTAATGAAAAAGAATCAAACAAAATCAAAGATATTTTATCTAATCTAAAATGTATTTCAACAAGTCAAGGAATGAAATCACCTAATGAATCTTATATTCGATCATCTAACTTATCAGACAATTTACCAATAATTAAATTTTACATTCCACAGATATCAATTGATAAAGAAGAGTCAAATGATTATTCTGTATCTATTGAATTTCTTAAATCAGTTGGATGTCGAACAATACATATTCCAACATTAACAAGTCAATCGAATAATTCATTCAATGATTTAATAACACTTCAAAATTTTATTCAAAATTTATTACAACAACGTAAAACTATGAGTGACAATGATCTTCATGCATTAAAACACAATCCATGTATTATAGGTTTGTTTTATTCTTAACACATTCGGCACGATCTGACTCATCGGTGGGCTATGCTAGATTTTAACGAGATAATTGTATAGAAAAATACCTTCTTTTTCTACAGATTAAGCATAATGTGTTATCTGCTCTGTCTTCAGTACTTGATTTGAGTCCTTTATTCCATAGCATGATACTTGCTATTAACATAATCAAGACAAAAAAAATTGTCACAATCAAAATAGAAGGTTTTTTAATTTCTCTACAGCCGTATAGCTCGTTTCTCTTGACTGTTGTGCTTTTTCCTTTGCATAGTAGCCAGTACAGTGTCTGCCGGCATTGCACATAGATTCTTTTTTGTCTTCGAATAGTTTGTTCATTTTTATCTCGAACTAGAATTCATCTATTCGAATGGCATGTCAAGCAGTAAAGATTGCAGAAAAAATTTTCGAGAAACTCTACAATCGTCACTTCGCTCCGTATGACGCTACAAATAGATATGAGAAATGATGAGAAAACATAAAAGAAAAAGACCTATGAGTGCATTTGTCGAACGAGGAATGCATATACGAAAATGAATCTGTAGAGATACTTTCGAATCATGCCGAATGTATGAATAAATAAATATCTATTAAAGTTCATTTTTAATCATTTCTATAGGAATAACATTAGAATCGAATGGTGGAACAAAACATAAATATAAACCATGTGATCTTCATTTTCCATCCGTAGCTGATCGTCTTCAATGGAATCAATTATTAATTATAGATTGGTTAGATATTAATCCACGTTCACAAGAATATGCTTTTCTTAAAGAACTTGGCGTACGAGAAGTACCAGATTTACATAAACTTATCTCTCGAATTGATCAAGAACATAATTATGGAACAAAAATAAAAGAAGAATATAAATTACCTAATGCACTTATCTTTTTTGCCGAAAATTTTCAACAATATTATTCTAAAGTATGGAAAAATGCAAATATTAAAATACCATTTCTTCCATCTATTCTACCCGATATAAATCAATCAACAGAAGTTACATTAACAACACCTGATATTGTTTTTAAAGGTCAGTTTTTTTTCCTTTTTTTAATATTATTTTCCAATAAAAAATCTATTTTATTTTAAATTAGAATCAGGACCATCATGTCCATCTTTACTTCCTGAAGTGCTTCGATGTTTTTCAAAATATTTTGATATTGGTTTACTTGGTGTTAAACAACGTCCTTTACTATCAATAGCATTTGATATTTTAATGGAAAAAAGAAATCAATTATTAAATGTCGAATCGGCTTCAATATACTTTTGTTATTTCAATAAGTTAGATGGTCTTAATAGAACATTTATTGAAAGAATTTCTAATCGAGCATTTATTCCTTTACCAGGTTTGTTTGTTTTTTGTTTTATTCTTTCTAATTAATAATCATACATAAATTTAATATATAATTCAGGTAGTAATATTTATCTAAAACCATCTCAAGTATTTATTCGATCAAAAAATTCATTCACTAATGAAACATCTTCTAATAATGATCTAAACATTACAGATGATATGACAACACATGGTCTTATTGATTATATAGATTATGGTCATCAAGCAAATTCCTTTCTTCTTAGTATTGGAGTTCTATCTTATCCATCAGCTGAAAATCTTGCTGATTTATTAATTGAACGACAAGCATCTTTTTTTGCTCAAATGAAAGATAATACGAATGATATGATATCAACTAAATTACGTGTTTATACAAATTGTTTGAAACAATTAGCTGCTATATCAAACATTACAAAACATTTAAATGTTGAACCATTACGAAGTCGTTTAATTAATAAACCATGGTGTTTAGCATATCAAATAATCGAACGATCGGAGGGAAATAGAGAACGAATTTTTAAAATTACTAAACCAATAGATATTTATCTCGATGATGATCATCAATCTGCAATTGATCTTCGACCATTATGTGCACCTGATGAACCTGAATTAACTAAATTATATGAATTATTTGGATCAAAATGGTTGTCTGAAAGTGTTAAACGAACTTTAATACATAGAGGTAAATATCGGATTTTTCTTGTAGATTATTATAGATAATTTGATACATTTTCATTTCTAGGAAAGTTTTTTGTAACAGACAGAAGTAAAAAATTACACGATCTTATT